TTCGGGAACATGGATCGGAAACTCGTTCTTTCCAACCATGTTAAACAGCTTGTTCATAGCGCGGAGCGGAAACCCTAGCTTTCCGCCTGCCACACATACAAAGTAATGTCTTCGGGAACATGGTTCGGAAACTCGGCCTTACCGACCTTGATCAACAGCCTGTCCGCAGCGCGGAGCGGAAACTAGGTCTTTCCGCCCGCCGCACACAAAAGTAGACTGAAGACTAGGCCTCGCCAGCCACCAAACCTGCTATTTTATGCTGTTATTATTATTATTATTATTATTATTATTATTATAAATTACTATGTATCAGAGCTGTAAAATGATTGAATCAATAGGATCTGCATTCACTCGACATTCTTTTCAAAATTTTGATTGTTTGTTTGTATAAAAAAAGCCTCATTCCTGAGTGGCTTGAAATGCTTGGAAACAAATAAACTGTGTTGTGTTTTTGAATGGTAGATTGACATTCAGTATGGAATGTGAATGTAACAGAAGCATTCCCACACACACATGATTGTATATTTAAAATGAATGCACACGTTTTTACCATTCAGTACTAATACTTTTTTCCCAGGGTTGATATATTTTATACTTTAAAATTTAAACATATCTGGAATTGAAAAAAAAAAACATATATGTATACGTATGTATGTATTTCAACGCGTATGTATAGACGTTTTCTGACATTAACCCATGGCTAATGACTGGTGCGAAATCAGTCCAAACAAACATCGCAACCGTCGAGCACAAAAGACACATCTTGATACATACATTTACATATATTAGATTCGAAACTAGTGAACTGTATATAGAAATATAAAACAGTGTCAATAGAATTGAATTTTTAAAACTCTTGCTTGAAAAAACTTAAGAATTTCATTACCGGCATCTGCCCCTTCGTATTATAGACTTTTAGAACTATAAAAGGTCTATTCTGCACGTAACCGAAGATTTTGTAACCGGAAAATTTTATTACCAAAAAATGTTACCTGTTCATGTCACCGCGATTCTAGGAACGTTGGTAAAGCTATATATTCAGCAATTCAGCCATGAAGACTTGTGGAAATTCTGGCATTGCATATTTCACGGGGCGGGGCAATATTTTGTTACCAGCTTATGAGATGGTAACAAAATTTACCGGTTACAAGAGTACACCAATTGCGAAAAGAGTTTAAAAATTGATTGTAGACATTTTTTCGCAGAATATATGTATATATAAATTTAATTTATATGATTTTTTTTCGATTAATTTTTTTCTTCAGTTCTCAAATTTGAAAACTTTCAAAACGAAATTTTATAAGGGTTCTTGTTTTCTTTAAAGAGGGGTTGAGGAGTTACATTGTAAAATTTTTTTTATTAATTATTAATTAAAAGGTGTACTATTTAAACATATTTACTACGCACTTCTGCAGTAGGGTACTATAACTTTTCTCACGTAACGGATATTTGGAACAACCAAAATTGAGATAGATATATACTACATTTATGTACGTATGTATGTATATACCGTAAATGCCCAGAATAAAAAGAGAAGTTGATTAGTCCATCTCCGTCTGTCTCTCTGTCCGTTTGTTTGTGTACACGATAACTCTAGGAAAAGTTGAGATATCGGAAGAAAATTCGGTACGCGGGTTTCCCTTTATGCAGGGCAGAAGCGTTTTGAAAATACAAAAATTAAACAATAACCTGGTCCCTCCCATAAAACGGTCATTTCGAAAAATTCAAAAAATTCAATATTTTCTTAATTGCAGAAAACAAATTGCTAAAAAACTCACATGTTTATTATTATACATTAGTGAAAAATGGGACATATTTCTAACTTTTGAAATCAATTTGCTCAAAACATACATTTAGAATAACTTTTTAAGAAATAATTACACCCGAGCGCATTTGTGCACATGGGTATTATAACTTTGTTCGTATAGCGGTTGTTTGTTGTATAGCCCTTCAGGTTAATAAAGATTGTAGAAAACGATTTTTGCTTGTGTGTGGTCCCGTTTGATTCCCAAAATTGGAAGGAACTGATTTTTTCAAATTGCAAATCCTAATAAATAAATTATTTCTAAAATAGGTTACAGCAGACAATATTTAATCATTTTTTATTAATGTACCGACACCTGATTGGAAGATCGACCTATCTCGGCAGCCAGTTCGAAAACTCCCTATCTCAAAAAACTGTTCTAGAACACCCTATTCCAGAATTTTGTTGAAGAACGCCCTATCTCAGAATGCGGTTCAAAAATGCCCTATCTCGGCATATTTTCAATATATTTTCATTTGAGATAGGGCGTTCTTCAACCAAATTCTGAAGTAAGACTTTCATAAAAAGTTTTCTGAGTTAGGGCGTTTTTGAATTGGCTGCCGAGATAGGTCGATCTTCCAATCAGGTGTCGGTATATTAATAAAAAATGATTAAATATTGTCTGCTGTAACCTATTTTAGAAATAATTTATTTATTAGGATTTGCAATTTGTAGTTTTGATGTTAACAAACAAACCAAAACTTAGGTTAAAAAGCGTGCTCAATGAAATGGGTATAAATTCTTAAATATTGCACTTTCGGAAAAGGATGTTAATGAAAATAGAGACCAACGAATTTTGTTAAATATTTTTTTGTTGGAAATGTTGATAATTTGTGGCTTATTGTAAATGAAAAAACCTCCACAAACCAACAAATTCGATTTTCGAATCTTCATTAACTGCTTGGCCCAATAGCGACGAAAAAAAGTACGAAGAAATTTGTATCAAAAATTTTTATAATTAAATAATGAAATGTATATGTATGTCTAAAGTTAGAACCAGAAGCTCTTAAATTTGTTAGTTTATATTAACTTATATATGTATGTACTAATTTATGCATTATGCATTATTAATGGTATATTGGTAACACTTATTTGGAAAGCTGACAATTTTCTAAACAGAGATGTTAAAATCATTAATAATTTATATTTTTCATAATGACATTCTAACGACACGTTCACTAAAAAATATTTCTCCAATTAATATTTTTTATTCTTATAAATCCTTGTACAAATTTAAGTGAAAAAAACTGATAATAACGCTCTATTAACTATTTTTCGTGTTGAAATTTTGCAGTCTTTTTAATAAAATGCAACCTGGCGTATTTTTCAGTGGGTTTTGTGTGTTCAAAATATTTATATCAACTGATTGGTACTGAGTGGATGTGTGCACACATAGCAAAAGCTGCATTCATCTGAGTGCTTATTAAGTGTTAAAAGTGAATCGTTCGTCATTCAATTTTTTCAATCTTTCTTTGAATATGGAAATGTGTGCAATCGTATCTACTTTGAGTGAATGTAGAATTGGAAAACAATAAGCCGCATTATTCAATAAGGGAGAATTCAATGAAAACATAATAATATAAAATTGATGATTTTTAATTTCAAATGATTTCACAGTTTTACAGCTCTGCTATGTATGTATATATATACTGGACCAAAATGAGGTAAAAAAATAAAGCAAAACTGAAAGATCTTTTTCTCAGAACAAAATTTGTGTTTGAAGTGCAGATGTAAAACCTATTTGAGAAAATGGCCCTAAGTCAAGTAATTAGAAAACTTCGTTTACAATTTTTGCAACAGCACTAAAACATATTAGGGGTATTCTCGAAGTCTTGCACGTTGCACGGATTGCACGAAATGCAAAAATACTATTCCAAATTTCGAAGAGTACGAGAGCACCCCATTGAAAGGTGGCAGCATACTTGGGTTGCAAGCAGCGAAGATATGTATCAAATACAATAACAAGAGACAACAAAAAAAAAATTAAGTGAGCGAGATGAGAGCAATGAGAGAAATATGTAGCAATTCCAACAACAAAACAACTAGCACAGGGTCGTATTTATCTTGCTATGCTATTTTGCAAAATATATACATGGGTTTCGACGTTGCATATTTTGCAGCGATAGGAAATGTTGTTTCCCATGTATTTTATTGTTGTGTGTATGCAAGTTATGCAATCCATGCAATCCGTGCTACGTGCAATGGCTTTGCAAGATTTGGAGAATACCCCTATTGTACTTTGGCGTTATGTGTACAGTGGCCATTCGTACCGATTTTGGCGGGACAGTGCCGATTTTGAGAAAATTGTCCCGTCATGCGACCGTCATTGCTAATAAATTAACTTAAAATTGTTTATTCTTGGTTCGAAACAGCGTTCGTGAAAACCACGATAAAGTAAAGCAACAGAAATTGAGAAATTGTGGCCATGAGTCGGAAAAGGCCACTTGACGAAAAAGAAAGTAATAAAACAACCTGTACCGTAGTAAAAAAAGCTCTACGATTATCATGTAAAAATTTCCATGTATATGATCAAATACAAAAGGATGTGGAGGAGATGTCGTCTCTATTCATCGAGCTATCAAGATACATTCACTTTACCTTGATGAAACGTTGGGAACAACAAAACTTTGAACCCATAAATTTTCTGGACTGTTATTACCATCTAATGGTAAAGAAAAAACCAAAATATACAATAGACCAGGAGTATAATATGCTGCGCAAAAACCTCAAATTGTACGATAGTTCGTATCGGCCGAATTTATTTGTGGAAAACGCGAATAAATTTCTAACAATATTCCACAACAATATTTGGATGCACGGTTGTACTCGGCTCAGAAAATATTTCAAATTTGAAGAAGACAAAAAAAGGTATATAATACACTGAGCTACCTATTCGATAAAAATTCCAAAAATAGCCCAGATGAAGCGGTACTTGAACGTATGCGTACCGATTTAAAATGGAACGGGAAAAAGCTACACGAAATAGAGAATGTCAAACTATTTTGGTCGTCCATAGAATTATTTTATAACCTGCAACGGTATAATGAAATCAAAGAAATACAAAATTTTTCATTGATACCACAACTAAAACACGGTTAACATCACGTCAGATACGATCGATTTGCGTTCCATCAACTATTGTGTCGATTAAAATTAATCAAAGGACCATTTTCTTCCTTCGATAAAAGTGAATTTGGAAAGTATTTTAAAATTCCTTCAACGTGCACTAAAACGTTTTCATCCTTACAAACTGATGGCATCTCCATTTCATTTTGTATGGAAAAGCAAATAAAAATACAAAACGAAACTAAGCTAGTGAAAAAGAGAAAACTTGAAGAAAAAGAAACGGATCGTACAGGAGATATACCCCACTATTCTAACAGAGTCACAAAACTTAGCTCATCACTGTTGTGATTTCCAGTGCGCCGAGAAATGTGTCACAAAAAATTCGATTTTGAGTGCTAGAAAAATACACAAAAATTTAAAAAATTGAATTGAAGCATCATATTTTTTGAGCGGCAAGCTTTGAGGCGCGGTAGAAATCACAGCAGTGATGAGCTAAAGTTTGTGACTTTGTTAGAATACGGCTGTTAATAAAAATACGTGCAACAAAATATGAAAATAAAATTGGTCTAGATCCTATGTGTCGGCTAATTTTAGCTGGCATCCAGAACAATGTTCCTGTGAAAATTAAAAATTCGTACTATCAACACCTTTCTGGTTTCTATTCTCGCAAAATAAAACTAAATAAATATACGAAAGATTTCACCACAAATTCAGAATTGTCTGCGAATTCGTCAAATTTTAAAGAATATTGTAAATTTGAACTTGAAATACTGGAGCAAAAACAAAAAATAGCCTCGCAAAGAAAGGTGGCTCGGCTGAAGCTGAAGAAATACATTTGCCGACAAAAAGCCTGCAACCAAGTTGCGCAACAACTGGTACCAAACAAAGAAGAGAAAACTTTAATCTGCACCAAACTCACCAATACGCGGATATAGGCGAGTACCTAATCGCCTACTAATCGCAGCTTTAAGACAACGAACAGCAGACATTCTAATGGTTAACGAATTCAGAACAACCAAACTTTGCGCAAAATGTTACAACGTAAGCCTGACGTCCAAATCGCCACACAGGTACCAGTTTTGTCCAAACTGCCGTACTTGCTGGAATCACGACGTCAATGCTGGGAAAAACATTCTCTACCTGGGAGAGTGTATCATTAACCAAGAACAATTAGAATTTTCACAAATAAGATGTCATTATTTCATTTATGGCGCAAAATATGTACATCTGACTGGCAACAGTTTAACTTATGATACTATAAACAATTGTAAGTTGATAAAAAAGTTGTAATACACCCCTCCCTAGCCTCGCAAATATCAGAAAAAAGCACGAACCACACCCACTTCTTAGTTTTTTTTAGCTTAACGGGTCGTATTCTGCACTTATGCATTTTTTAACACCTCCGAATGGATTTCTGCCTTAAAAAAGGCATCTCATAAAGTCTATTTGCTGTTCGGAGGCGTCGTAAGACTGTAGGTCCCTCCATTTGTGTCACAAGATCACGACGCAGCACCAAAATATTATTATTATTATACAAGTAAATTTCGTCAATAAAACCAGTGTTTATTTTTTAGATTTATATATGTATTTATTGATATTGATAGTTTCAATTAAACTTCGTAATAAACTTACAATTATGGTTGTGTATTCAAAGAAATATGAAACATTAAATTATAAAGGTCAACTAAGATTTGGCTCACACGCTCAAACTTTAATCTTACTTTGGAGGGATGTTTTCCTTTCCATTCATACTGATTCCTAGCTCCAATTTACATATGTATGTACGCATTTTCTTTCTACAACATCTGTCTGTTTCTTTTTTTCTAATTTTTCATATGTATAAGTATATGTATAAGTAATACACTTTTTTGTGGATTATAAACAGTAATAAACTTGTTGGCCGGAAGGACCTTTGTGTTCAAAGACTTAGATTTCGTTATTCATTAACAATTATTGCCGGGAAAAGAAAATATCTTACTACATAGTACATACGTACATATGTACCCTGATCAGGGTTACCACTTTGGTAAATTATTACCAAAATTGGTAAAAAAAATTTGGATTGGTAAAAAGGTAAATTTTTGTTCATTTTGGTAAATTTTTGTTAAAGTATTTGGTTTGAAAAACAAATAACACTTTTCGTTCCCTCTTTATTTCTCGTAGTGATCTTTATATTATAAATTTCTTTCTACTTTGTTTGTTATACTAAACTTCCGTCGACTATAAAACTGCATACCAAAAAATTCAGATTAAAAAACTCGAAATATAGACGAAAATTTTTGGAAATTTTCTAAATGTTTTATTTAGCTTGAATTCTTGATTTGTATGGGTTTGGTTTAATCGCAAACAATATTCTTATGCAATCAAAAATAGCAAAAAAAAAATTACTTGAACAACATTGTGAATATTAAAAAAAAAACAAAGAAGCTTTTTAAAGTCACTGTATATGTCTATAGGAACAAAAAATTACTGGAACAACATTGTGAGTAAAAGAAAAATCACCAAGGGGTTTTTGAGAAGCTGTGTTTGTTTACAATAAATCCAGTTGAAGTTTTTTTTCAAATGGTGAAGTTTCGTTGTAGCCTTTGCTTCATCACTTTCGATTTTGGCTGAAGGAAACCGAGAAGATGTCATTAATATGATCTCAAATACCATATCAATAGTTAAATAAAAAGTTCCTCAATAAAAAACTTTTAATTTCTATGGCAATAGAACAAAACTATAGTTTTTAATAAAATAGCTAAAAAAAGTTATTGGTAGATTTTTTTCAGATTTGGTAAATTTTATTTAAATGGCTGGTAAATATTTTTTTTAGTCAGTGGCAACCCTGACCCTGATATTAAAGCTGCTAATTTTTGGAATTGATTTCAACAAACCGCTTTATACTGCTATACACTGAATTGCTACATGTATGTAGGTGAAACACAAAATCGCTTAATTACATGTAAATAAATTAAGAAGCCTGAACCGCTATAAATTAATTGCAATAACCCTTTTCTAGATCTTGCCGAACAGCAAGAGACCTTATCCAACTTAACCGCAACAGTAATGAATGAATCGATTTGCATCGCTTTTTTTCCTTATCATTTTCAAAATATTTAGTATAAATGTTTTCGTTTGGCTTGTGATATTATTGCGTGTCAGTAAGGAATGAACTACGGTGCATTGTTTAAAGCTCAAAGGAGGAATTAAGCACCGGATCTTGTGGGGAAATCTTAATTTTTTTAATAATTACATTGATTAGTTTTCTTTTAAGAAGCTTAAAGGAACAATAATTAATTTCAGTTATAATCATCTTCAAACTATTAAGCTCCATTTTTATTTAAATGTTCAACGTACCATTGACGTGGCCTGCGACAGCGACGAATTAAACAAGGCAAGTTGAATTTTGACGGCATGTGATGCAGGCGCTATTATTCACCAACCCGCAATTTGTCTTCCCCTCATTGCCACACATTACCGATATTTAAGTTGCTGAATTGTTGGTTCAGACCATGTGTATTAGTAGAGGCGCCTGCTGCAGCTGCAGGTGCCGCTTGAAATGTTGCTGACATTGGCACACTTGCCATGGGTATGCTCATTCCCATCGGCGGCTGCTGCACCATGGCTGCCGACGTGGCACCTACGCCCATCATAGGCATGCCACTTAACAGATTCTGATTGGTTTGCATAAGATTAATTTGGCCCGCTAGTTGTCCGCTGTTAACCATCATATTCCCAAGACCCGCCAGGTGTTGTTGTGTGTAGATGCCGGTACTGGCCGTGCCAGGGAATTGGGCATTAAAACCGCCTGTAGCGCCCGCACCACCCATATGCATGCCTGGTGTGGTGAACGCAGTGGGCGCGGTCATGACGGGTGCATTATACATGCTTGTGGAATTCGGCGGTGTCATGAATTGAGGTTGCTGGGGATGTGGTACGCCACCTGCGCCCATATAACCGGGAACCATGCCGCCTGAGTAAGCGCCAGTGGCAACAAACATTGGCTGTGGTTGGCCAAAAGGCATTTGGCCACCATGTGGATTGTGTGAATTTCCTGTGCTGCTTGGTGCGGTACCGTACAATGCCAATATACTATCCTTTGTCAGCTTCCCTGACTTATCTTTTTCAGAGCCAGTTAGCGAACCTTGATTAAAGAAATCTTCTTCGTCTTTAGCCAGTGAGTTTTGCGTGGTATTTTGTCCATTAGATTCCCCAGCTTTATTGTGTTCCCCAGGTTGCATAACAACTGAAGGAGTCGCACTAAGAAAACCAGTGAAGCTGTCATTTTGCAAATCCTGGGCTGCGCCACCACCCACATTATGCTGCAATGGCTTTGTAGGTGAAGAGAGACCGAGCAAATCGCTGCTGTGATTGCCTTCGCCGCCTGTCGAATTCGTAGAAATGCGCTGTGTTTTAGGGCTACAACTACTGCCAACTTGTCCTGCCTTGGGTTTCGGCAACGGCGCTGGCAGTGCCGCTGATTTCGAACCTGACGATGATGTGGTGCTTTTCTTGTCACCCCCGGTGCCCACGCCACTCATCACACTAAGCCCCATTGAAGTGCACGCTTGGGCTGCTTTTTTCTTGCGTTTTTGCCGCTCTAACTCTTCGTCAATTTCTTTGGCCCAATCTACTTTTGGTGGTGACGGCGGCACCCATTCTCGCGCCAAATACCTTTTGTGCTCATATTTAGCACGTATGAATGACTCTAATGCGGTATCGGTCTGGGGACGGCGGAAACCATCTGGTAACTGTGCTTCATAAACGGCACGCGCACGAGAATTGCCCATCTGTTGCAATGAGATCACCTGTTCTGGCGTCCAGGTGTCTAAATTGACCGATTTAACTCGCGATATGTGTACGCCAAGATTACGATGAATGCCTGCGCAACGTATGCACAAGAAAACGCCAAGATTCCAAGACGCCCAACGCGGTCCTGTAATATAAAAGAAGCATTAACCGGCGAAGATAACTTACTTCATATATTCAATATATCCACGTTTGTTGTTTCCTTTGTACGATAAAAAATAAACACAAGTTGCTTATCAGTATAACACAGCTCTTAGCAACAACAGTTGCATGCGTTGTCAGCGAAGCACTTTTATCAGAATCGTCGATGCTAAACCAAGTTTATATTTTCTGCCTCTCGTCGTGCTAACTTGTGATCTTCACTTACATATTTTAAACTGGTATTTGTCAGTGACTCATGATAAGATTTACAAATAAAAACAAGCGCTTAAAGTAAAATAATAATTTTTTATAGAAAAATTACACGGATTCTAAATTCATATAATTAAGTGGGAAGAAAGGTTTTCAAAGAAAATCTTTCCGTTGGTTGCCGATAAACACTGTTTGCCGTATATTGATTTTTAACAAATTTTCCCATTGAAACTAAGTAATTAAATAGTCATAGAAAGGTTATGAAGCCAAACAGAAACAGTGCAGCGCTTACTTTTACTATCACTATACTATGATAACAAATGAACGGAAAAAATAAATCAAATATGAACGAAGCCCGTGGATAGGTTGTACATATCTTACAAGCACTCATCCAGCAGTGCAGTAAATATAAATGACAGTCGCAAATGATATGCCAAAAGTGGCGTAAGGGGCTTAAACACTGCGTTTATGCAATGAGCATTCATACCAGCGCTGAATTATTCAATCACAACGCTAATTCTATCTAAATTTGGTGGTCACGTACAGAGGTGTCCAATAATTTTCGATTTCTTTAGACAATACATTTTAGTGTTGGTTGCCTTTAATGGCAACATATTGTAGCCTATGTTTTATAAGCAATGCTGTTAGTACTTACTAGACAATGAGAAGATCCCTATTCGAATGCCATTCCGTTGAATATATTTAAAAGGCACTTTTTAGATTTGAAGGTATAATGAATTCCCTATCATTTTGTGTCCAGGTGGAACATGCTTTACCCCCGCTTGCGTTTAAGGCAAATTCCCTAAGGGAGCTCACGAAACTGGTGGTTTGGTGGCTTGCGTGTTAGTTGTCTTTTTTAACCTTAGCCTTATTCCAATTTCTTCGTTACCTTTTGCATCACAATCAACGCAGTATTTATTGTCCTCATCGCGAAGCATCTGAGTCAGCAGAGTTTGGCATTTTTCCTGTATTAATTTGGTCCTTTCATTTTCTTTGCGGCTCGCAGTTGAACTCATTTTTCCTCTTCTCTACTATACACACACTTGAAAAGATCTTGCTGCTGTTTGTATACGGTTGCAAAAATTTTCGATATTTTCGCTTATACTAAACTTTATACTTTAATTTGCACTACCAAGCTTGTTGCATTTGTTAAGCAATTGGAAAATATTCAACAAAATGGCAATTTTGAGTAAATTTTGAAGAAGCTGCTGCTGAAATTACTCTGGTGCCAATCAAAAAATAAAAAAGATTCACCACTGACATGACCGAATGAAAAACGTCGAATGGCGGCGAAAACAAGCGAAAAGTTGGTTGTCAAAATATTACGGCGAATTAATTAACGTCAAAACCCTAGATTGTGAATCGTCATAAAAGGAAGAAGCAGACGAGCTCAATTTAAAAAAATTAAACGGCGCTTTGTGGAAAAGTGTGCACGCTAGGAAAATTTTATTTCTCAAATAAAGAATAATATGGCAGCTGTTGGACTACAAGTGCTGAAAAACCAACTTTCGTGGAGCCGAAAAGTAATATCCAAAGGATATTGTGGAGCGGAATGCGGCATAGATTGGTTAAATGTAAGACGATCTTGCTATTGTTTTGATTCGGTCATTTTATGTATAATTGTTAACTTATGTATAATTGATGGTTTTTAGAATTTCTGTGGCGATTTTTATGAGTTTGCTTCTGGTCTGCACAAGTTTATAGCCAGCGAAGTTGAGGAAGAACTCGATGATAATGAAAATCTGGATACTGTTTTTCTATGTTTGGCACAAGTGTGCTTGTGTACAAAGTATTTGGAACGTGTAATACGCGCCGAAGAAACAGCTGGAAGAGCAATTACGGTAAGAATGAAATAAATTCGAAACTTTAAATCATGCGAAAATATCAATAATTTTATTCCATACAGTCCTCCCGGAGACACTTTGTAGATCGAATATTATGGTGTATGGATAGACTAGAGATTGCTGCTGGTAATATGTCAGTCCTTGGTCATGATAAAACATCAGAACAGGCGATGTCGGGGTATGGTTTTATGGTACTGTTGGAAATAGCAAAAGACCTTGTGGCTGGCTTCAACACGTACAAGGAGAATCCAGATATCGATATTGAATATGTAAGTGTAAGAACAAACAACTATCTTGTACCATGTACAATTTTGTAATAAACAATTTTTTTGAAGGCAATTGAATCCAGCAATGAAATACATCGTGCCGTGCGTTTTATGGTGGGCCATGCACTTGCTCTGGCTAACGTAGCACTATTCGAGGATAAAACAGCACTAAGTGCCTTATGCCAAAAGGTATTTCTTCTCATTTACACTTCGATTTCTAAAGTAGGTGCTTGACTCACGATTTTTTTTTTTATTTGTGTTATAAGGTGCTGCGTGATAGCAAAGCTTTTGTAGAAGAATGTTCCATGAACTTTCAGCTAGCTCCGACGAACGAATGGAATCGTAGATTGAAAGCTATTGCACTGGGAGATTCGTTGAATCAATTGCATCAATACGTTGATGACACTATTTTGCGACTGATTTTCATATGCTTCACCGATTTAGAAAAATTTTCGTTAGACAAGCTTCGTGCTAAAATGCGACAATGTGGTAGTGATGATGCTGAGCTAGACGAGTTTATAGCAGATTTTGACGTAAACTTGGACCGCTTGGCTCAAATAGGACTTTTTGCCGCCAATGAATCGCATTGTCCGAAATGTAATGTGTATTAACTGCAATATTTTGCAATTATGAATGTTTTTAAAAACAATCTATTTTAATTGAATTTTTTATTTAATAAAAACAATATATTTTCATTATAATTTGTATTTCAGTAAAGACGTTGGTGCTTAGTTGCATGGCCTCATTAGAGGCACTTGACTCATGCATTATACCGTCATTGCAAACAAGAAACGGCGCAGATATGCATTCTGAAATTATGGAGCAACATTTCTACGAGGAGATAACGAAATTGAAATCTGTTATATGTGAAATTGTGGATATTAAACCCATCTCCAGATGCTTTCATGAAATGCTCAACAATTGCATTATTCAAACCGAAAAAGAGTTCAACAAGTCCAAGCTGGACGATATGGTGCAAATGGGTGAATTTCTCTTGCAATATTTTCAGCATCCTACAAACAAAAAAGACCTCCAACAAACGAATTGTAAGCGATTGGAGTACTTTCAAAAGCTGACCTTAATGTTACATGAATGTCGTGCAATTATGGTATGTGCAAATCAGGTGGAGAATTCGCGTATACTGAAACGCTTTAAGATTTTGCGTGCAGTCATGCGCAAGTTCGTAGATGCAATCGATAAGACGCAACAGGAGCTCAGCAAGAAACTCGAAACGAACATAATTTTGCCTACACTGCCGATAGCTGAAACGCATACACTAGATTTGTATGAATCACAACTTTTGCTGCAGGCCATTGAACCTAGCGTTTGTAGTATTTTGTATCGCAATGAAAGCGAAATATTCACTCCGCGTAGGCGTGCTGTGAGTGAATCGATGCGTTGCAACTATTCGAAGTGCCCGCTAACGGCACTGCAAGTTACGCAGGCTGTGGCAAAAGGGGATTTGCATTCAAAGTCCGGCATTGACTGGCAGCAGATAAGACAGAGTCGTTGTGGTAGCAGTGTGCGCAGAAGTGAGTGCTTTTTATGAGCCTATTTAATTTAAATATATACTATTCTTTAATATTTTTTTGCAGAGGAGAGTTTGCGCACGGTGATGTTTAAGCGGCAAAAAGTTCGCGATTTTTATTTGCAAAATTCAGCTAGCTTACAAATTACCGGTAAGTGATACGGCAAATCGATGCAATTGTTAATAGTTAAAGTTTTGTTTCATGACTACAGAAATTCTTGATCAGCTAACACAGATATCTGAAAATGGTTTGTCCTCAGAGAACGAGCAGCTGCTGAACACATCACGTATTGAATAACTCTCTTCGAAGAAGTTTATCGTTTTTATCATGGTTTTTACTTCCAAAGGTAGCTAAAATATTTTATTGAAAAAAAATATTTAAACTACATATAACTAATTTATGCAGTAATAGTTTTTTTTTTTAACTCGGTAAAGCTTATTATCATAAATACTTTAATTAGCAATATTTTTTGTATTGTGATCTTTACTTAAAATACGTATTATACAATCCTTGATTTTAACGAAATTTAATTTTTTATATAACGCGAAGTTATAAAACTGTAAGCTCCTATGAACTCTACCTTCAGTATTTTATTAATACACTAGCCAATGCCCGCTTACTTCGCGGCGCCTAATAAGAGCTTTTCGTTGGCCAATGCAAAAGAGCGTTTAAAAACAAAATTAGTCTGTAAAGTCAAAATTTTTGATTTAAGTTGAAACCACTAAGGTGCAGTATCCTCCTCACACATAGACCAATAATAGTAACGCTGTGATACCATATGGAATACCTATCCCTTTTGGTGTCATGAGCTTTACCAATGGTCTTATTTCCACCCGTGAGATCTCTGCCAAGCATGCGTAATCTTTTTGTATGATCTTGCAACTACAACATTGGTGCGATGCGTATGCCAATAAAAGTTCTTATAGAGAAACTCAAGAGCACAGAAGTGAGTTTTCTGTTATAGGAGGGCCAAGAATCCTCGCTGTCATATAGGATGAAAAGTTTTCCGGTACATTGCTAAATGAGTCGTGTGATCTCTTAAGTATCTTTCAAATGGAGCAATTGATATACCTACGGTGATCTTTCCTTGTTAATTCACCACTTTTACAAACTTAACCCCATCCTTCATTTAGACATCTGAAAACTAAATTCGTATAACTTAAACATAGGGCCAAAGCAGACCAACCACGGGGTTTCTATACATTTCGGCTGCAGCGCCATCCATTGGGTTCATTTTCTGTAAAACCATTGCTTACCATAAAATGAATACGTGTTATGAATTTCAACCTTAACTCCAGCGGCACTAATTGGGTAAATTTTTATCAAAAGAATTTTCCATCATACAGGTACATAGCTCACATTTAAAATTTGAACGAAATCGGTTAATAAATACGATTTTTATAAATAACTCTACTCCAGCACCACCTAGCGAGTTTTCTAGTAGCATGTAATATATGTATGTCAGATAACCTCCGACAATCTGACGGAACTCTATTCAGTGGTTTTTGAGTTTATTCCGAACAACGAAAACGGCTATCATTTTATGCAAATAGGCAAATATAGGGCAGTCTATAACGAAACCCGAAAAATCAAAGCTCCATTCTTTGTGCAAAATTTAAAAAAATTCTTCAAAAATTTTCACATAAATTTTACCTTTTACTAAAAACTAAAAACAAAGTTACAATATTTCAATGGGATTTAGAAATCTAGGAGAAAATGGTTCCCAATCGAGTGATACTTGCGCGTTTACGTAAATGTATATCGATGCAGTCTTTCCAAAAATTACCACTTTTCGCCATAAGTACGGTATTGATAAAAAATGTAGCTGTGTAGAATTTCAGGACGTTAGCGTAAGTAGTTCCAGAGATAAGCTATATGGGAAGTTCAGTTTGTATGGAAGGAAGGAGCCACGCCCCCTTTCCCAATGCATTTGCAATATATACATCAGTGCTAAGTTTCAGTTCCCAGCGTAATTGGTTTTAGAGATATATTGGTTTTTTACAGCCCGATTCTGTGTACTTGATAAATTTAAAATCTTTATAATTTGTCAATTTTTTATTATTTATCAAGAATTGGTATTCTAGCACAGAAATCAAAAGCCCTTTTCTTGATAAATTATCAAGATTGAAAATGTTATTGACAAATTGAAAATTCATGTGAAATGTATAAATTTTGTATCTTAATAAATTTGTTTCTAACAATTAAATACTCCATGTGCCGGCATTTGAACCTGCGACACACGGAATTATAGTCGACATCTCTACCTACTCGGCTACGGCAGTCAAAAGCTTTTTCGCTTTTAAATTCATATTTTTCATATGTGACAATGAAATCAGTTGCACTCATGTGGAAATCAGTTCCACTAATGTGGAAATCGTAGAGCTTTTGTTTTATAAA